CCTGGTGAGATTCTTTTGTGATAGTAGGCAAGTTAAAAATTGTTTTAATGTAATTGGTGACTAATAAATGTTTATTTTCAAAACGTTCTTCAAGCATTTTCCATGCGACCTTAATAATTCGCATCCGAAACTTGCAAACATTTTACTGTATCAGCGGCGGTACCTTTCAGTGAAAGCCGCAAATAATTAAATTTTTGCACATCCGCAAGTACGCTGCTTTTGAAATGAAGTTTTTAACCTCTGAAATAATTTTAAAGGAAGTGTTTTCGAAACTTTCTGGTTCGGGAGCGTGTAAATTGTCGTAATTGGTGTCACAATTTTCATCGGCAGATTCAATCTGCAGTTGTACGTCATTAAAATTATCAAATAATTTTTCAGCTCTGTTCAAACGTGTTTGTAACTCATCTAAATTTGTTTCAGCGCTTTTAATAGAGTTAAAATGGTTTACAAATCGCGTAAGAGAGCTTTTAATTGCTTTTCATCTGTTTCAGCCATTTTTTCAAATGCAATGCGGTGCTCAAACGATCTAAAATATAACTAACTAAAACTAACAGGTGTAATTGCGATAAAGACATTCAAAGAAAACGAAATGTTGAAAATAAAATGCAAAGCAGTTGCCAAATAAAGGCGTTAAATTCCTAGGAAGCGTGAAAATGGAACGCACTTACATCGCAGGGTGTATTCAAACCTGGTGCAGTGGTTTCTGGCTCAAGCCGTTGAAGATGATGTCCAAATCGCCTAACATAAAACTTCGTAATTGCCGGGTCGGCGGTGAGTCGCTGAAACGTGAGCAGCGCCGTGAAGTCTGGACGGAACAAGGAGAAAGGCGACTCGGTATAGCGGCAAAATCGCTTTTGCAGGAGCGCAGTAATCCACAGGTTTTTCACTTTTAACACTTGGTGATTCAAAATCCTGTTCGGAGGAACCAAAATGTTGTGTGGTATCGAAGGACCAGTAAAAGTTTTGAGAATTTCACGTTTTTAGTGGATTTATTGCGAAAAACAATAAATTAGTTCAATCGTAGCTCTACGTATCGTTGTTATTATTGCACTGGCGGGAGCTTAGCTGCCCGTTATCCTGTTCGGTTTCGTTCGGGCAAGTTCGGTCGATACAGTTGTCGGTCTGGGCGCTTGGCGCGTGATTTTAAATATGAATTTAGTCACATTTGCACTAACAAAAACAAAACACTTTTGAAAACATCAAACTCCTCAATAGTTATTTTATTTTGCAGTACTGATGAATTATCATTCAGTTCAGTTAAATTGGTTAAGAAACAAAAATAAATGAAACTAGGAAAAAGTATAGCAAAATTAAAACATAATTCAGGATTTCTTTTTAAAAGATATATATTTTTTGAACATTTCTGCAAGAATAACAATATCTAGTGGTTTCGGGGTAATGAAAGAGCTTTTTAAAAAATTCGTGGTTATGGAAAGTAGAAAGTATGTCAGGACAATGTCACAAAGCTCTGAAATCATATCTAATTTCATAATTGCAACTGGGAAGCTCAGTGAAAAAGTTTAGGAAGTTATTTGTCGAAGTCTCGTGTTCTTTTAGGCTGGTTGATATTTTTTATTTTATCTTGTGCCGATTGTAGATGTAGATGTGTAGATGTAGATGTTTCGATGTTGTATTTTTTTAGAATTTTTTAAATTGGATCGATGATATTTTGAATATATAATGCAGTAGCAAACGGGAGGTCATTTACGGAGTTATTTTGGTGAAGTGTATTTTTTAATTAATATTTTAATTTAATTTACTTAATCTTTATAACAAATTGTGTGAGAAAAGAACTGAAGTGATATGTTTTAATTCCTGGCTAAGAGATTTGGGTTGAGACAGAGATATTGCGGTTTTCTATAGACCGAATGGTCCAAATTTAAATGTGGTTTTCGATGAATAAGAATGTCTATAAAGGGAATAGTGTTTTTATTTTCTTATTCGATTGTGAAATTGTGTTTGTGTGTGTGGATTTCAGATACCAAGAACGTCATTTATATATCTCTTCGACAGTTTCGGTTCTAGATGGAACTTGTCAGTGGCTAGTTTTTCAAAATGTTCTACAAAATATTAGCAAAGTCAGACGACAGTGGGGTATCCATAGCAGTTCCTGATATTTGTTCGTAAATTTGTCCGTTGCATGTGAAGTATGTTCTAAACATTTTTCGATTAAAAGGACAATCTGTAAGGAGGGTTTCAGATTTTAAGTTAGTAATAATGCTTAGTGTTCCTTTAGCTCTTGAACGAGATGAATCATTTTATCTTATTAAAGAAAAAAGTTATGCCCCTCCCCACCAAATGCAGATTTTTCAAAAACACCCTGTATCTTGAAAACAATTTGCCGAACCAAAGTCCCCTAATATGGCGATCGCTTTTTCTCTATTTCCCTTTCCCTGAAGCCTCCCAAAATCAACGAATATTGGTACAAAATTTATCTACGTCCATGGGCGACACTGACATTGCCGCAATTTCCCATTTTATTACTCTACACGATTCTGAAATAGCCTATAACAACATTCACTCCCCGAGCATAATCCTATCCTTCCATTGTATAGGTATTTCACATAGCCAAACCGTTGACCAAGCAGTGTGCCACCCTGTCACATTTCGAAGATCGACTTAAGACCGCAGAATGGTTCGCCAACACACTGAGAAAGGAGAAGAAGTTCTCTCCTAGAATTGGCAATGCTCTTGTTGCTACTACCCTCGACTTGTTGTTGGGGATGTTTCTGGTAAACTTTTGTTTGCAGCATCGAAACACCATATTGGAAGTGTTCGAAAACGTTGGCAAGGTAATTGAGTTTTATTTGCTTTATTTGGTTATACATCTTTATGAGTATGGTTACTTTTCAAAATTACTTTCATATTACTGTGAAAGCTCTCCTTGTGGACAGCTCTAATAAGCGGACATCTCCCGTAACTAAATGTGACTAAAAATCTCCCATAGGCGGACGCAAAATTCTTAAAAGTTTCCTAATAGTTATTAGAATGTACATTTAGTTCAATAATTCCACTTTTATATTAGGTGATTCCCCTTTATTTTGCTTGAAGCTTGACTTTGGTGTTTATATTTTATAATGGAAGAAGAAGATTTTGAATGGAATAATATTTGCAATGAGAATAATGATTTTTATGCTGATATATTATCTGGTGATGAAAATGATACAGATGAGAGCGATGATTCAGATAGTAATCAATACTAAAAGAAAGGTTTTACCTATTGTAAGTGATTCTGAGAACAGCGATTCCGATGGTACAGCGTTTGAAAGCGAAAACAATACAACTACACACTGGTCCGAAAACGATAGTGATGTCAATATAAATCCATTTTTGGGAAATGATAAGATAAGAATTTGTGGTACAATTAGAGAAAATTGTGGGTTACCTCAAGATATAAAAAAAATAAATTAAAAAGAGGCCATCAATTTTTCAGTAGAAAAAAAAAATTTTAATTCATGTATGGAAAGACAAGAGATATGTCAGAATGATCTCAACGGGTACATCAGGCTCGGCTTATAGAAACCGGTAAAATAAATCGTAAAACTTCTGAAGTTATTAAAAAACCAGAAAGAATTATGCATTACAATAAGTATATGAACGGTGTCAATTTGGCAGATGTTATAATCCTATTATAAGAAAAAGTCTCAAATAGACAAAAAAGGCTTTTATGTTTATGTTGAACTGCGCATTATTTAATTCATTTGTGATATACAAGAAATTGAACCCGGCAAAGAAAATAAACACCCTGTGTTTATGCCAACAATTTTATAAATTGGTACATTGATTTATCCTATTCTTGTCTTGAAGTTAGTTCGCTCCGCTTATACAGGGTGATTCAATAGAACTAATTTAAATGTTCGTGAAAAAATCAAATTCAAGAGCCTGATTATTATAGTTATATTAATAATTGTTTAAAACAAAGGCTCTCTTTATTCATTACCTATAATTCTCCATTTTTCGCAATCGCAAAAGACGTTCTATGTAATTTAAGCCGCAGTTTCTGTGTGATTTACTTTCGATTTCCGCCACTCCAAAAAGAAAAGGCCAATTTAAAAATTGTCATATTTGTCGGCATTATTGACCAAAACCTGACTTTAAGCGGACGTAACGAATACTTAAATGACAAAACTTAACGATTCAAGTTGACGTAAGAAAGTCGTCATTTAAATGCAGTCCTTCGTTTGAGACATTAGTAGGTCCAATTCACTTCCTGCTAACGGCATATTTGGTGAACAGTTAGTGACGTCATTTTGTCGACCCTCCGCTGCCTGGGGTAGCTTGAAGGCAGTAAATATTTAGAATAATTAGCAAAAACATCTAAATTATAAGACTCACAATCGATACAATCACCAGTTTTCAAAATTTTCTCAAAATATATATATAACACTATAGGAATGTAACATTTTTTTCGCAGTAGTTACGGTTTTGTCCCAACGATACCAAACAATGTTTGTGCTTTTCTACAATAAATTTATTAATTTATATTCTGCAAAAAAAGAAAACAAACCCAATACAGTAACAGGGGGCTCGGCGACATAGTGGAAACGTCCATACACCTTTATGAAGTCATCAGCAGGGGTTACGTCGATATGCATTCGTGACACTAGTGGATGGTTGACGTCATCATCTTTGCAGATACGTACCACAGATACCAAAATATCTATATGTTTTCGTGACACTCCTTCGGGCGGTAATCTTTAATATCCCTGTCAAAACATCAGAGGGCTGTTATAAAATAATAATAATTTAACGTCATTGAATTAAACTTTAAAAAGTGTTGGCACGAGAGGTATAGATTTTGTTAAAGGTTAAGGTTAAGGTTAAAAAACCGTAGGAAACGTTTATTTTGATTATCTGTTTTAAAATTCTCTCTAGCATGCTGGTACTTAAGAGAGAGAGAATACAACATATTTGGTTAATAAAATTAGATCCCGTCTATCGAACTTGCGTTTAAATACAAAAAAAATAATTGATCTCTTCATTCCTAGGTATGTCGTAACGTCAGCTGTGTGTAAGGGATAAGACGTTCTACGCTCGTGACGTCATCATCTTTGAAGGAATCGGCTTTTTTCTCGTAACATCTCCACAGTAAGGGGGGGAGAGGTTTGCTGCAAGAGGATCGGTAAGTTTAGCTGTTTGAAAAGAATAAAATGTCGTGAAAACATTTAAAACGTGTAAAACGACCAAACGGAGGCAGATGCGTACTTTGGACAACAACATTTTCCGATCCTGGAAAATAACGATCCCAGGGATATTCAGGTAAATTCGAAAATTTTTCCCCATTTTAAGTACGTAACCATCGTCCGATTCGCCGTATACGGTTTTTTTCCTGTTTCCTGTTCCATGTAGCCAATTAAACCCTGCGTACGATAAGTATTGCGACATTGCCCATCCGTATTGGTTATTGAGATTGTGAATGTGCAGTTCACCTGGCATACCTTTATACTCAGTTTACTTCCGTACATACTTCGCCATTTAAAGTAAATTAAACTTTTGTACCAACATTTTCCGTCACCACAAAGACAACTTTTGTCAGATATACCAATCTACAAAGATCGTTCCCCGACAAGTATGGACAATCGCATGTCACACTCAAAGTTTACATCGCGTAATAGAGGGAGCCCCGTTGCGAAGTCGGCTCCGCACATTTTTAACTCTAGCCTGTTTCTCACTGCACAGGCTTTCATTTTTAGAAGCTGGAAATCGTGAAAAACATTTAAAAAATCAGATTGAAGGATATGCATACTTATTTAAAAATACACGAACATTCTAAATTCTAATTGTTCGCTTGATTTAGAGTTTTTTTTTTCATTGTATAGCATGCGAAATTTTGAGTAGTTTTTGAGAAAACTGAGCTTTTCCACTTTCTTGTGGAAAAACAGGTCTTTGGAAAAATGTGCTTTTTACAGTCGAAAACTAAAATTGGGAATTTTTGTTATGGATCCTGTAATGTTTCGTTATAATTATAACGAAGGAAGTGAGGTTCTTGGTCGCATGGTTGAAGACATTTACTAATAAAATAAACAAATAAATACTACTCTAAGTAAATGGGAGGCGATTGTTAAACTGACAAGTAACAGTATGTGCCGAAGGTGCTTTCGCACTGATAATAAACAACAAGGTTCGAACCGAAACACACACAAGTCTGCGGTATTAACCACTCCGAGTGGAACGTCGACAACATTGCAGCGCAACCGCTTCTCTTGCGTTCCTATTACCCACTGTTCGCCTCAGCCCACCTTAACTTCGCCGTCGTCTCAGCACTTCCCCTCGCATCCTATTGGCCGTCCCTTCGTGACTCGCACTGGTTTATATTTACCGCCACTCGCGCACTTTCGAGAACTTAAATGGCAACAAAATAAATAGCCATTCGCATACGGTATGCTACACCCTTTTAAATTAAACATGCAATTTGGTTTAAAACTAATCTTAGCATACTGGGTACCAAGGCAGGCTCCAGTACCGTCTTCGACCACCACAAATGAATTTGGCCCTTTCTTGATTTTCTCCTGATGACAATTTGTGAGTTCTTACTAACACCTCGTCACCCACTGAGATTTTCATCACCTTTCTTGACTGAAGGTGATGTTGTTGTCGTTTCTCCGCCTTTGTTAATAGGTTTTTATAAGCTAATTGGATAATCAGATCCCGTGGAGGCAACAATGATTTAGGGAACTCTACTGCTTTCAAGACTGGGTCAGTTGTATTACTAAAATGTAGGTATTCTGGTGGAAAATTGATATCTAAATGGATCGCCCGGTTTAGCCATTTTTGCACCAAGGGCAAAATAGTGGTGGTGGTGTGTTTACTATAACATACCGATCGTAACAGACGTCCTATCTCTCGATTCACCCGTTCAGTTGGATTACCCTGTGGGTAGTAAACTGACGTATGATATACTTTAACATTTTCCGCTTTTAAAGTTGAAATCCATTTCTTATTTGCAAATTGCGTTCCGTTATCGGATAACACAATTTTGGGACGTCCTATCTTCGAAACATAGTGTTTTATTAAGTATATTAAACAAGCGGCAGTAGTAGTAGCTTTAGAGCATGTAAGGTAACATATTTACTGAAACAATCCACGGGTACTATTAATTGGGTGACCCCTGAAGGAGGCAATGGACCCATTAAGTCCAAACATAGTAATTCATTGTCCTTATTAGGTACAATGCAAATGCAATTCCTACTTCAAAAACGAATGTTTTTGAAGTAGGATTTTTTTTTATTCAAATGACGACATTTGACATTGACATTTCCTGGCAGAGGACAGATTTTTGCGACTGGGCGTTGCAAGGTCCCGTGGTTTTAAGGGAGACAACACGGATTACACCATCCTTGCCTGGATGTAGGTCGGTGACTCGAACTAACAACCACTGGAGAGGAGGACGTTGTCCATTCTTAACGAGAACCAAGTCCCCCCTTGAAATAGGTGGTGAAGGCTTGGACCATTTATGGCGTTCTTAGAAAGTGTTAATATACTCAAGAGACCAACGTCTCCAAAACTCACTTTGCAGTTTTTGAATGTATTGCCACCTGCTTAGGCGGTTTAGGGAAACTTGGTCCAAAGAGGGATCTGGAATTGGGCTACACAACGGTTCTAGAACTAAAAAATGGCCGGGAGTTAAAGATTGCAAGTCATTAGGATTTGAACTGATGCTGCATATAGGGCGTGAGTTTAAAACTGTTTCAACCTGATTGAGGAGAGTTGAAAACTCTTCGAACGTCCAAAATTGTTGCAGCATGTGGTAGTGCATTGTTTTAGATCCTGGGTGCAAATTATTTCGATGATGAGGGAGGTAAGTCTATGTGATTTTGGAAGAAGTAATGGATGTTTTGTGTCAAAAGGTAGCTGAGAATTGTGGAGACTCCCTCCAACTCTAAGTAATTCGAAAGAATCCACAAAGGAGCTAGTTTTCTAAAAGGTTTAGGTAGCAGCTCGTTTTGGGAAACCTTAGAGTAAATTGTAGAAAATACGTCAATCTGAACGCATTATACCATGGTGGCAAAAGAAGTTTCGATTTCGATAGGCGTCACACTCGGACTTCGAATTGTGTAAGCAAGGACATAAGCAAAAGTGCGCTTGATTTTTGTTAGAGATGAAAAACGGCCCAACAAGACAACAACAATTGCCCTCTCTTCTGTCGAAACATTTAACAAGTGTCTCGGTATCAAACTCAAGGTTTGGCTGCTTCGGCCAATTAGCTGGAGACTCCAACAAGAAAATGGGACCCGACCACCAGATAGCAGTCTCTAAGAGTTGGACGGGTCTTAAACCGCGGCTGGCGCAATCGGCATAATTTTGTAACGAATGTACATGGTGTCAAGATTCGCGAGATACAATGTCTTGTATATAGCTGACTCGATTGGAAACAAAAGTCTTCTATTTGTGTGGCGAAGAAGACACCCAAACCAGCGTGACCTGGGAATCCGTCCAGGACAAACCTAAGCGATAGTTTTCACACACTATATTCAACAAGTTCGGAGTAGCACCTCAAATCATGCACTTAGACGAGGCGTTTGTATCAGGTAGAGAGTTGCTCACACTGCCATCCAACTCGTAGATAATGTCACATTCTTGGCAAATTTAATAAGTAAAATGTTGCAAAATTTTTTGTTTAAAGTGACTGTGGCTTGATCTGCCGTCGAAACGTCATTCACACATCAGTGTGGATCGACTGCTCTTATTTTCAAAATTGGAAAGATTGACTGTGCTTTGGGCAGTTAGGTGAAGAAGTTCTTGTAGACTCACGTCAGCTGAGATTTCAGTTACTGTAACTAATGACGGTAAGAGAGCAGCTTTGGATTGCTTCAATTTATATAAACTTGAAAAGCAGTTCGCAGAAGACAGATTTAGATCTAAGTTATAGGGCAAGAGCTTGATGAAGAGTTAGTGAAGAAGTCTCACATTTAATCGTTTTTGTATCACGATTCACATGTCCTGCTAGCTGCCAGTTCCGCTACCCGCCTCTTTTTTGTTTTAACCGAAGCTTAATTGAAGGGTTTTGATTGGTCTTTCACAGGAGTAGGTATACCAGCTACTAGTTTCTCTTGTTTATCTCCTGCAGTATCAAAGCTTTCTCATGTTCTAGAAGGTTTTGGCGGCTTCGTCTGTTGCTCATGTTGAGGCAAATCGACCGGCTAGTTGTCATGAGTTGTTCACGGAACTGATTGGGGCATTCTTCTTGTGAAAAAAAGAGAACAAATTTTCTCGAATACGGCTGAAACTTTTTCCCATTTTTCGCTCTTACACCACAGTTCAACTGGATAATCATTTTTGATAGAATTGACTTTCTCTGCAAAAAACTTGCAATAAAACGAATTGCAGTCAGAGGCAGACAAACTTCACCTCATACGAATCTTAAATAATAAAGGAACACAAAAAAAAGAAAAATCTACAAAATTATATTACATGTTTAAAGTTCGGGAGCTGAAAAATTTGGATAACTGTAGGATAGCAAGTGAGATAGAGGCAATCATAAGCAAATATTTAAAGAAGATATTTTGGATATGTCTTTCATTGTTCCTGGTTAGCAAAACACGTACTTTGTAATTCAATTTCCACAAGTAACAAAAAACAAAGTGAAATATTAACCAGAGGAGGCATTTTCAAAACGATAAAGTTATTGCGAGTTATTGGATTATTTCCAGACAACGGCGGTGAAACTGATTTACGTTGACAATATCCACTTCGATTTTGAACTAGTTAAAATTTGTTTTTTTTTGCATTTATTTGTTATTATTGTGTTTCAGTGATATTGGGCACACCTAATAAGGAGGTTGGGTACTGTACTTTTGATCTAATTGAAACTTCGCAATTAGTTGGAGTTAGTATGTCAGATTTTGAAATCTATTCATTTATATATAATATAAAATGAACTATATATTTTTTAATATTATTCCAGATGTAATTCAAAGATTTTTTTGACAAATTATCATAGACTATTGCTTTGGTTCATTTTATTGATGTATGTTAATTTCAAGAATAATGCGTTTTCACGGCATTTAATTTACAAACAGCTAGACTTAACGATCTTGTTGTAGCCACCCCTGGTGATGATGTAACAATGTACAATTATTGTAGAAAAGCAGGTTCACACAGGTATATATATATATATATATATATATATATATATATATATATATATATATATATATATATATATATATATATATATATATATATATATATATATATATATATATATATATATATATATATATATATATATATATATATATATATATCAAAGCACAATGTTTACTTTTTGGAAGGGAGAATACGCCAACATTCACTTTGTTTATGAATTGTGTAATGGAAAAGGACGAGCAGCAGTTGTTGAAATGTTTTTACACTTTACACAATTTCGGTTTGTATCTGTACCACATCTTAACTGTACAAGCTTTAAATCCTGCCGACTACGCTTCAAGACTTGAATTTACTCGTTGGATATTGAGAAATTAAAGGATTTGTCGGATAATATTATTTAGTGATGACGCCTCATTTACCCAAAACGGTATCAATAACACCAGTAATTCATATTGTTGGAAACTTGAAAATCCACGACAAACTCGGGAATCCTGTTTTCAAGATAGATTTTCAGTGAATATTTGGTGTGACCGCCTCATTGGTCCGTTTATAATTGAAGAACGTCTCACGACCATTCGTTGAGGGGCGGGGGGCCTAACGCACAATACAAGTACTGGGGCTCAGCTAGTTTATTAGGCACTAACCCGTATCAAATAAATTTGTGACTCAAACGCCAATTATGGCCATATACAAAGTTTTACAAAATATCTGTTTTGTTTCTCCAAAAATTTCTAATGGACGGTCTAATGGAGTAAAAAAAAATGGTGTAAAAAAACTTAAGATTTAGCTTGAATTCTCCAAAATATATACCGTGTTTACAACCTTTTATGGTTTTGACTTCAGAATATGTTTAAGACCCGCCTGGTGTAAAGTGGAAAGGACCATTCTTTTCAGCCAGGGCCGTATTTAAGATATTAGCCGGCAAGAACTGTGCCGTGCGGATTGTTGTATTTTAATAGTAGGATTTAAAAGTAAGAATGGATTTTTCACTGCATGGACCAATAATAATCGGGGATCTCGCCGATGAAACCCTACACAATCCGCCAGCTTTCAGCATTTGTATGCACGAAATACCGAAGTACGGTTCTGGAACGTCATTGTAGTATTGTGAATCTTTTATTGTGGACTACAAAGAGAAACCCAAGCGAGGTAGTCCTGAGGTTAGACCTACATAAATATTTACTAAAGTTAAATACCGGTTTATGTCTGTCTACTTCCTTCTCCCTTCTGTAGAATATCTAATTATACATCGACCTAGCATGCGGGAAACCTCACTTTACCACGTGAGTTTCTTGTTCCACTTCGGACGTTTCCGGAATATTACAGCACAGGTTTGGGAGCAATTGGACATTTTCGGAGATTTTACCGCACGTAGTGAATTTTGATCATGTCAGTGAATGTATTTGTGTTGTTTCGCAAAAATGTACCCAAAAACCAACGGTCGTAGAAAAAGTCTGGTATGCAACATGTTTGGTGAACTTTTTAAGTCACTCGTTTAATAAATACTCACTCCGCTCTTGCCAAATAAACACGTGACTCAAATGCCGTTTACCGCACGTTTTGCATAATATGCTAGTTTTTACTCCCTTCTTAAAAAAAACATAATTATACACCGATCTTCGGACATTTCCGGGATATTACCGTACGGGTTTGTGAGTAATATACCATTGAAACATATTGATCGTGGAATCGAAAACATAAAAAAAAATCAACTTTTGGGAAAGTAGTAACTTCCAAACCTAGAACTCTTTGAAATTACTAACCAAAACTTTTTGAAATCACTTACTACCCTGTATCAACGATGATTAAAAATCAATATTTATTGCAGTCCTTCCTCGGTAACCTGAAGCACCTGCTGGTATACCTCATGGGATCGCCCATCGGCCTGAAGCTGAACCACGCATTCAACAACTCGCTGGGCATGTTCTTTTTTTATCACATCAACCTGTGGCGAATTTTCCTACAAGCGACTCGGCCTCTGCTAAACGAGTATTTCCTGTTTTTGGTGTTGCCGGCCGTTCTGGGAGTGTCCTTCCAATTCGCCATGCTGATAGACATTGTTTCGATGATGACGTTCCACGTTTACTGTATCTACGTTTACGCCGCCAGGTTAGCGTTGCGGAAATAAGCGTGCTCGCTCAACACCTCCTACATCAGAAAGAGGATAAAAAAATGTTTTAATTACTCTATATTATTTTAATTTTTTATTATTAATATTATTTTATATTTCAAAATTTTGTTTGAATCGCGAAGGACATATTTTTCCACCTATTTTTCATATCAAAATTATTTTATAGAGATTAATTAATTACGTTACGAACCAGGAGTATTGTTTCGGTTAGTGTCTACATCTCAAAGGTTTCAATTCGGTTTAGCGATCTTATTTTGAGTGACCGAGCAACTGCTCTGACTCAGAGCAGTTGCAGATTTACGTTACGTATAGTGACATAATCAAAAATGATCCGTATTTGTTAGCTATATTGCGACCATTTTTAGATGCGTTCCGATTTTTAGGTAGGTACGTTCGGATATGCAAAAAATTAAATAAAATTCCATTTTGTAATGGTTTTTGCAACGTGGACGTTAGTGATCGTGTTCTAAATGGTTGAACCTACCAGAAACACGGCCATAAAACTGTCATTCGCAAAAACTGTCATGTACTTAGCATCAAACACATTGGAAAAAACAAATATCAGTTGGACATGTTTATTTTTGAAAAACTCCCAACGCTTCAACAACAAACACAACGAAAACCCGCAACGCAAACAGCAAAGAAGGGGAACAAAAACTAGTCATCATCGTAAAAAATATCTTCGTCCGATTTATGCATATCGAAGAAGAAGAAGTGGGAGAATATTAAATGTATCGATCAATTTATCACTTTTCCAAGCCTCACTTATCGAGCAGTCTGGGTGCGTACATTAGTGCTGTCATTTTTTGAAGTATTATTCTTTTATTTGAGCAAGTGAAGTATCAAATATTACGAGATTGATGGATCCTATTTTGGTATTATAATACCCTTTACAATCTGAACAAACCATCTCTATCGCATTAAATTGGCAATGAAAAGGCGGAAGCCGTAAAACGTGATGGATATTTCCTAATGCTCATTTTTCCACGCTTAAAAGATTATATTTTGAAATAATTCCACATTCAAAGCAAAAAAAAAATACTTAGGAACTATCTATGCAGTTTTCCTGGGAGCTATTGCTGCATTAACATCCACTGCTGGTCTTTCATTAAATTTGGCTGAAATGGAATATTCCTTTTACGCTCTTTGTCACCAAATCGTTGAGGGATTTTGAAACGATTTGCTTATCCGCTAAATTTAAAAATTTTGATCTTAACAAAATTGCTGTGTCAATTTACGGCATTCAATTTTCTGGAATAAAAATTATCTCCTTTAAAATATATATAAAATTTAATTTGCACTTATTCCACGATGAGATTAATTTATCTCTGTCCAATGAAAAATAAGAAATCTTTCGTACATCAGTATTATTAAATGACCTACAATTTCTCTAAATACAACCCTATATTCGAGGCGCTTCAGAGCCCATTTTTTGTATATAATTATGAACACTGTTCACTCGCTATATTACGTCATACTCTATAAAGCAGTTTTCAACTTCCAGAATCGGTTTATTTTCCATACACCATTCCATCGATAAAATCTTCCATCTTGAAGCAGTCCTTAAATATCCTAATAAACTTCTTCAAATCGTCAGCAAAAATTTGATGTTCAACGTCAATAACTTCAACTCTATAAGGACGTAAAAATTGTATTTAATTTTTTTGTTCTTTTCAGGCTATTTTCGCTGCAAGTGAAAGGACTAGTGTCCTTGTGGCGATTGTTTATCGGTAGGAAACACAACCCGCTCAGAAATCGCGTCGACTCTTGCGAATACTCTCCCAACCAGTTGTTCATCGGGACGTTGGGTTTCACGATTTTGTTGTTTCTCCTGCCCACTACCACCATGTATTATATCGTGTTCGCCACCGTAAGTTTATTTGGTAGTCTCTAGTCTATGGCTTTATGATTCTTGTAGAACAGTTCGCATATACTTAAAACTGTATTTTTAAATGAATAAATGTAAAGCTGTATGAAACAATACTACAATACTTTTGCGATCTTGATTAGTTATACTGGGCGGTTCGTAATGAATGGGTGAAATGTAAACATCAAATTGTACCGCTTGAATCAACGAAATGTTGCTAGTTTAGAAGGTTTAAAAGTTCGATTGTCAATTTATGATCTATTACATAATTTTGTTTTAGGTCGCCTGCAGAGGGCGCTAATTACACACGTTTCAACGGAATACTTTCATTATAACTTTCTTACCCAAATCTTTTTCGCAATTTTGAATGTTTGATATATTGATTGTTTCTAAGAGGAAAATGTATTAGCTATAACTTGAATGTTGGGGTTGGTTTCCTTATAGTCATTGCTAAACCAAAAAAATTTCTAGGTTTTGAAATATTACCAATCAAACGTTTTCTATTGTAAAAAATGCTAAACGGCTTTTAATTGCCCAAGAAGATTAGGGTTAAATCTGGCAGAAAAAAAAACAAGCACTAAAGAAACGGTACCCAATGTTTACTGCCAGTTGACAATTTTTTAAAAAGCTTGTGAATCACGAATGGCAATTAAGTCATTAACACAAAACTTTTTGAATGTTTTTAATGTCTAAAAATTTAACGAACGTTATCAAAAACATTTCGACATTTTCCAAGAGAATATGCAGATGGCAGAAGCCTACAAGAAACATTATTTTAAATCTTTAATGGAAAAATTTAAAAACTTAGGACTTTCATAAAAATTATTATTATTTTGTTCTTAAGTTTTGATACTTTTAACTAATAAATTCCTTAGTAAACGATCCTTATTTTATAAGGGGTGTTTTTTTTTTCGATGTATAGAACTTAAGTTGCAATAAAACAACGATGGATTATTCGATTGACATGAATTTTATTTATCCGAAAGATAATCTTGTGCCATTACATTTTAAATATGATTTCTGGCATATGACCGCCACGGCTGGCGCGGATGTAGTCCAATCTGGACGTCCATTTTTCGATGACTTTTTCCAACATTTGTGGCCATATATCGGCAATAACACGGCGAATGTTGTCTTCCAAATGGTGAAGCGTTTGTGGCTTATCCGCATAGACCAATGACTTTACATAGCCCCACAGAAAGTAGTCTAGCGGTGTTAAATCACAAGATCTTGGAGGCCAATTCACAGGTCCAAAACATGAAATTAGGCGGTCACCAAGCGTGTCTTTCAATAAATCGATTGTGGCACGAGCTGTGGGACATGTTGCGCCGTCTTGTTGAAACCACATCTCCTGCCATATCTCCTGCACATCATGGTTATTCAATTCAGGAATGAAAGAGTTAGTAATCATAGCTCTATACCGATCACCATTGGCTGTAATGTTCTGGCCATTATCGTATTTGAAGAAGTACGGACCAATGATTCCACCAGCCCGTAAAGCGCACCAAACAGTCAGTTTTTCTGGATGTAACGGTGTTTCGACATACACTTGAGGATTAGTTTTGCTCCAAATGCGCCAGTTTTGTTTGTTGACGTAGCCATTCAACCAGAAGTGCGCTTCATCGCTAAACAAAATTCGCTTATGAAAATCGGGAACAACGGCAATCTCGTTTTGGGCCCATTCGACGAATCTACGCCTTACATGATAATCGTTTGGCTTCAATTCTTTCACGAGTTGGATTTTGTAAGCACGTAAACCAAGATCCTTCCGCAAAATCTTCCATAAAGTGGATGGACACAGATCCAATTCCTGTGCTCGATGGCGGATGGACTCATTCGGGTCTTCCTCAATACTACGCTCTACAGCAGCAATAACTTCTTCTGTACACAACGTACGGCATTTCTGAGAATGCGAGTTATCAATAAGAGTAAACGTGGTGCGAAAACGTTCCATGGTTAATCGGACTGTCGACGATAAAATGGACGTAGTGCGCGATACGTATTCCGCACAGAACCATTATTTTCGAAATAAAATTGCACTATTTGCAAGCGTTGTTCAGGCGTGAGTCTATTCATGATGAATTGCCAAACCAAACTGAGAATAAATCACTTGACAGCTGCTAAATCGGTCGCCATCTTGAACAGTAATGCCAACTTCAATTTCTATACATCGAAAAAAAAAACACCGATTATATAACAGTAGATATAATACCTGCTTTCAACAGCAGTTTCGGCCGTTTTACACGTAAATTCTCATAAGAAAATTTAAGGTTCATATTAGCGGAAATTGGTCCGCTCAAAGGTCATTCGATCCATACCCTCTTAGCACCAACCAAACCTACCGTCTCCCCTAAAATTTGCAAACAATCGACGAAATCTTCAAAAGTTGTCTTGGTTTTGATGAAGGATTTTTTAACTCCTTTGATCCTCTTCGTTACACCCAAGTTTTTAAATTCACGTTCAAATGCTTCTCGATCTGTTTCTGCAGCCATCAATTCTTGTTTGGCGGATTCCTCTTCCTCCGATGTCTTATATAGCTTTGTGGCGTACATTTTAGCTCTAAGTCCATAATTCGCCCATTATTCTCATCCTTCATCATACCCAGAACCTTTTTATTGACTGTGGGTATACCGTACGGATTATCCTCCGCATAGTCCGATGTATCAAAATACCGGAAACAATCCTTTTTTAAAATCTCGTACGGGTCTATGGATAATATCTCGTATACAAGAGAATCCGTGTCGGTATATAAAACTCGGGAATTGGAAAATCTTTCTTGAATGTAGTTGTAGTGAAAGTCATAAATTGTTGTCTTGGCTATCTCCATAATTGACATCCCAACGTAGATAGGTTTGTTAAAATATATTTCAGATTTTTTTAATTCAATAAGAACGAGATTTTTACTAATTATAGTTGCACTTTTAAATTCGGGTCGGGCAATCAGAGCTTCCGCACCGTAGCGACCTTCCCAGTTTTTCACAAGCTTAACGTTGGAATGGTTCCGTATGTTTTCCATTGTTTTTCCAAACACAGCATTGATCATCAATTTAAACAAGTTCTTTTCAAACTCGTTTTTGGCAGCCTGACGTAGTGCAATATTTAGGTCGATATAGGCTTTTAACCAAGGCGACCGGCTGAACGAGACGGCTCGATGTACCTTTCTTAACTTAGCTCCCAGTTGTAGCGCCTGTTTCAGATTACGATAGTGAATGACATACTCCTGCTTGTCGTATAAGGTGGTCAGTAATTTTTGATTTTCGGATCCTGGAGGGCAGCGATGTTCGGGACATGGAGGTAAATCTGCAAATTTGTCATGCAACTCCTTGGGTATTTCCAAATCGACCTCCAAGATGTAGCCGACGTCCGACTCGTTGGATATATTTAAAATGTCAAGATTTTCGATTTGCTGCTCATCCAACCAATTAAAACCTCCGTACGGTAGGTATTGAGACATTGCCCACCCGTATTGGTTATTGACGTCCGACTGGTTGGATATATTTAAAATGTCAAGATTTTTGATTTGCTGTTCATCCAACCAATTAAAACCTCCGTACGGTAGGTATTGAGACATTGCCCACCCGTATTGGTTATTGACGTCGAAATACATCAAGTATTTATCAACTTTCGAGGGATCGTAGCTGTGCATATATTTGTTGTTGGCTTCCGCATATCGTTTGGAGCACTGACTAAGGCTTCCTCGCATTCCTTTCTCGATAAACAAAATCATGTCGACGTCAATGAGTAGATCGAGTTTTTGCTTCAATTTATACAACATGCAGCTCCACGCGTATCCCGGCAGTGTGTACGCATGTGCAGGATCAAGTCCATAGGTCTTATGTGACGTTTCCCGAAACCTCTCAAAGACGTCTGCCAAGAACAGGATGTCCGTCTTCATATAAAGTTGAGAAAAGCTTCTCCCAGACTTCCTGAGCACGTTTGTAATCTTTTTTGGTCAACGGTTTGTAAAATGCCGAAATAGGAGGCAAAACAGTTTCTTTCAACATATTCCATCCATTCATATAATCGTAGGGGAAAACGCCTTTTTGTTTCAATATATTGGCTTGCTCCTCCGACAATTCACTAAATTCGAGCTCCAGTATTGGATATTCCGTTAAATTAGCCGCCAGCTTATCCAGACCACTCGACATAAATCGAAAACTGTCGATGAATCGGAATTTCACCAGGTTGTCATTTAGGTGCCACGTAAAGGAAATATACTTTTCCTTGTTTATAGGTAGCAAGTCGATCGACCCATCACATTGGGCTAGAGCTTTTATTATTATATTTCCGTCATACGAAGAAAGATTATGAAATACTACGGGAACGGTGTGGCCATCCCTAAATTGGAGATTACAATTTTCGTGTGCGGGTCCCCTGTATTTCCCAGTCAGGTGACAATGGTCTCGAACCTTTTTGTCGTCTTTTTTAAACGCCTTCTCGCATATGTGACACAATTTAGACTTGTAAAATTCCATTTTTTGTCCAGCTGTTAGTTCATCCATTGATATATCACACAAGAATACCGTCTCAATGTTCTCAGCTAATTGCTCCATCTCATTGCAGAACCATTCAGCACAATCCTCTACCGTGTATGACCGCTAATATGAAAGGGAGTCGTCATATGAACATTTAAAATAATAGCCCAGAGAGTACGGAACATGGCGCTGATACTTCTCGGTGTCGGACGCTGATTTATCACATTCGGGAACCAAAAAACATTCCGTGTCCGCATAAACAATAAAAGGAACCTTCTCTTTGTACTTAAAATCCTTGAATTGCACAAAATTCTTGCCTTCTTTGGGAACCCTCGGAATTTCCAAATTTTTGTTTCTCTTCTCACAATCATTGGCGTGTTTCGCTAACTTGTCTTCGGAATAAAAATAATGCAAGCAACGCTCACAAAAATATTTTCTATAATGATCTTTCGAAAGTTGGGATGATAAAAGCCGAGACATACTTTTGATCCATACATAATGGTACGTAACGGGCGTAAAATCGATGGG